TTTGTATCAGCTTTTTCCTGGCAACCACGCCACGATCCACGCCACGGCATGCGCGCACACGCCCGGCATTCGCGCCCGTGAAATGAAGCTCAAACAGAGCCACAGCAGCGATGACACTGCGTCTCTTCATGTGTACGACTTTGGTGGAAGCCGGGCCTATCACGTGATCCACACGCTCATGATGTCGGATCGCTTCGCTGCGTTTGTCGTCTGCGTCGACCTCTCCCAACCAGAAGAGCACGTGAAGGAGCGCGCCAACTACTGGCTGCAGTTCATCTGCACGCGACTGAAGCAGGGCATTGCGGCTGCCACAGCAACAGCAGGCGACGACGAGACAGAAGACACGAAGCCGCGCGTCGTGATCGTGGGCACCAAGAGGGATCTTGCCCGAAAGATTGGGCTTGTTGAAGCATTTTGGCAGCCCACTTGGAGCGCAGCGATGGTCGCACACCTCAAAAGAACGTATGGCAGCATCGTTGACATCCAAGACAGCCTCATCTCCCTCAACTGTCATGGGCGTGGTGATGTCAGTTTCAACACGCTTCGCGCGCGCCTTGTGCGAAACTGGCGGTGGATGAAAGGGCAAGAGGTTCTCGTCCCCAGAGTTGTGGATCGGCTTGCGACAGCCCTCCAGTCAGCCAGGAATGAGAAGCCAGCGTGGGTCATCGATTCGCTCTTTCAGTTTGTCCGAACCCACACGCCTGGACTCGACTTGACCTCCTTTGACATGACAATGTTTTCTTCTGCGCTGAGGTAGGCTTGCAAGACTTCGCAGATTTGTCATCCTTGTTGTGCAAACAGTTGACTGACTTGAGGACCAGTGCCAGAATGCTCACACACGCCTACACCCTTGCTGTCCCTGCTTCCCACACATGTACACAGGTACTTCCACACACGTGGCGATCTGCTCTGGTATTCCAACACCCCATCCTTGGCGGATTTCGTCTTTGTTGACCCCAACTGGCTGCTTCATGACGTGCTGGGGAGAGCGCTGACGCCGGATGGCGTGCAGCAAGGCTCGATCACAAAAAAAGGCGTCTTGACCTTCACGGACCTGGAAACCGCATTTGATGGCATCGCCGACGCAGATCTCGTCATCAACGTGCTGCAGCACATGCTCCTCTGCTTCGAGCTGCCGCCTTCGAACTATGGCCAACAGCGATTCATGCTACCGAGCCGTGTTGAGGAGGAGGTCGATCTTGCGACCGCCTGGCCTCAAGCTGGTTTCTGGCCTCTCTATGCCGGACGACTGCTGGTGGTCGAGAGCAAGGCACTTGCGCTGCCACCTGGCTTCTTCCCGCACGTGCAGACACTGCTGCACAATTCGTTTGGCACAACCCTTAGGGTGTGGAAGGATGCCTTCTTCTGTGAACACGATGGCGTGCAGTGCCTCGGACTGCTGCGTGGCGATCGACAAGTCGACGTGTGGGTGCGCGCGCCTTCTGGCGCAGAGCACAAGGCCCTGCCATTCATGACAAAGGTCAGTTTGTGAGCGATTGTGTGTGTGTGAGAGAGAGTGTGTGTGTGTGTGTGTGTGTGTGTTGTGTTGTGTGTGTGTGTGTGTGTGTGTGTGTGTGTGTGTGTGTGAGAGAGAGAGCTTGCGTTGTTGTGCCCATCGCTTGTCAGCGAATGATCAGCTTTCCATGGTTCGCCCTCATTTCATCCTCTGCTCACTTGCGTGTTGACGACAGGTGCTGTCGGTGCTGCAAGAGGAAGCAACAGGGATTGACCACGTCCACCTCGTCCTCAGCACGAAACACCTGAAGCGCCACGAAAAGTACCCAGCTGCGCACAAGCTTGAGGATCTGACAGGCAAGGACCCAGACGAGCTCGTCACATCCACGCACCACAGGGAAAGCCAGACCCCAGTGTCCGACCGCGTTGGCGATCTGTTGCTGCGGGCGCCCGCGCAACGACCACCCGTCATGCCGTCTTGGCAGTTGCGCGACCACGAGTGGCACCACCCTGCTTGGCGGCTTGATGACACCTTTGATGAGCAGCTCCCGTGGAGCGGACCGAGCTCGCATGGCGTGTATTCGGCACCCTTGCCACCAAACACCGACCTCTATCGATGGATTGAGAGTCAGATGGCGCCGGGCCTCACCCTGTCGCGCGTGGAGATGATCAAGTCCACCATGATGCTGCGGGCGTTCAAAGCGCAGGTGGAGCGGTCGGCAACGCGCCGTGGCGATCCAGACCCTACCAACACCGTTGCTGCAGACCCTGAAAACCCTTTCAACAAGGACTTTGGGGCTGGCGATCCGGAGAAACAAGCCATGCTCGATCGGCTCAAGACGCAGTTTGCAGAAACACCCGACAGCGTGAACCACGTCAATGTGCTGATTGGTTTCCACGGCTGTGACGAGGCTGTCACCGACGACATCACCGCCGCGGGCACCGCCAACCTCAGTAACCCGAACGACCCTGGCTTCTTTGGTGCTGGCATCTACCTCACGCCGCAGGCCAATTACGCGGCTGGCTACTCGACACGCCTGCTGACTGGAAACTGGCGCGCACCCAACGCAGATGGCGAGCACGTAATGCTCCTGTGCGCTGCCAGCGTCGGCCTCGCATACCCGATCACCAGGAGTAAGGACTACCCATCGTCTGGGGAAAACAAGTGCAAGAAGTTCTGGGGCAAGAAGCTGAAGAACGGCTGCGACACCCATTATGCTCAAGTGACGAAACGCATGAGCTATCAATCCACCGACACGCCTGCCACCTTTGACTTCGAGGAGTATGTGGTCTCACAAGAGGCGCAGGTTTTGCCATTCGCCAAGGTGTTTGTCAAGGTGGACAAAACAGCACTCGCAGCGCAACTCTAGCCACATGTGTGCGCGTGTGTATGTGTGTGTGTGTGTGCCTGTCTGTGTGTCTGTCTGTCTGTCCGCCCGTCTGTCTGTTCATCTGCCCGTCCGCCCGTCTATCTGTCCATCCTCCGTCTGTCTGTCGACCTGCCCGTCTTTTCCTTTCCTTACACCGTTCCCCCCTCCTTTGTTGTGTGGTGACACCGTTGCCCTTTGTGTTTCAGGGCCTTTCACATTGGCACTTTGCTCTTCTGTTCGTAGCATCGTTCTTTGAGACTCTTACTCCTTCACCCAAACCCTGCGCCACTTCACAACACCCCTCTTCTTCGTGCCACCGATGCTGCTTCCCTTCATTTGCCGAATACACAAGCACAAAACCAATGCGGCTCACAACACTCAGGCACTACTACTCACTGCACTCAGGCAACAGACATGGCAAATACATTAGCAGCAAGTAACAGCGACCCCAGCATCACTTTGCGCTGTGAACCTTGACAAGTTCAACTCACGCATTTACTCAAGAGGGTGGACAGTGCGACAAGTGGATGCGCAACACGAATCAAAGGAATGGAGAGCGACATCAAAACGACACACGAAGCAGAAGCGCAACGCCAGCTCCCCTATCGAAGCCAGAGAAGCCACAAGCAGCAACCGTCCCCTCAACCTCACGCACGACCAACTTCCCGTTCACATCAACCACTCAAGTAAACCCCATTCCCTGCACCGGCTCTTCTTGACCGCCACCACCATCACCCCTGCCGCAAGCCAACAGCTGTTGCAGCAACTCGAGCGTGCGATCAACCTTCTCTTCTAGAGACTTGACTCGTTCGTCTACACCTCCAACTTTTGCGTCAAGCCTCTTGCTGAACCCAGTCTCCATACCCTCCACTTTCCCTTCCACACCCCCCATCTTCCTTTCTACACCCTCCACCTTGTCTGCCACCTCCTTCTTGAGGGCGTGCAGCACACCCTGCCACTGCACGCTGCCACCGTCACGGCCGACGCCGCTGCCCTTGGGCACGAGCACGTGCAGCCACATGGGGAAGCGTCGCGCATCCATCTTCCCCTCCAGCGTCAGCCACGCGTCCTGCTCCCGCAAGATGCGTGCGCGCAGCAGCTGGAACTCGATGTCTGCGCGGTCCTGGATGCGCTCGTACGAGTCTGACATGAGCGCAATCAACAGGTTCAGCAGCACGACGGGGACCAGCACCATGGAGATGACAAACAGGATGCGCAGCAGCACCACGTAGTCGCCGTCAAAGGTGTCCAGGTCAAAGTCCGCCAGCAACAGCAGGTTGAACATGAGCAGCAGCCCATTGGCTGGGTCGCCCAGCCCTTCCACCGGCAGTGTGTTGTCGTTGAGCAGCAACAGCCGGAACGACGTCCACCCGGCCACGATGCTGATACCAAGCACCAACAGGAAGTAGCGCATGTCGAAGCAGATGGCCAGGATCATGCGCACCAGCGGGCCAGTCGACTGGAACGGCTGCAGGTAGTACACCGCAACGGTCAGGAAAGGGCACATCATGCATGGGCTTGGGAAAAGTGTGCACTGGGAAAGAGTACGTGTTCAGCACCACGAACGCCACGTCCAGTAGCCGTGCACCAACCGTGACTGCCGCACCTCCTGCACCATGTCCACGCCAGCCAGCACGCCCAGCACTAGCATGATCATCACGGACACGACATCGCTGCCGTTGTTGCTGTTGCTGCTGTTGTCGGCTGCACCCAGCAGCTGGGCCACGTTCTTGCCGCTGGTGTTGAAAACAAAGGTGAGGGCGGTGATGAGGGCGACAGAGAGCATGTACCACGCTGCCTCCCACAGGAACTGGCGCAGCCCGCTCGTCTGCCACTTGTACTGAATGACGGCGCGAACAATGAAGCTGCCAAACAGCTCAGCATCGCCCGTGTCCACCAGCGTCTCAAGCAGGCTGGAACCGTCATTCAGAAACCCAGCAGCACGCGGCAACGGCACCACCCGCGCCTCCACCAGGGAAGCCGCTGAGTTGGCGTCTTCAAGCTTGGCCAGCTCACCAGACTCACGCATGTCGGCCCATAGGTTGCGGTTGATGTTGAGGGTGTTCGCGCCCATGACGATCATGCGTGATGACGGCAACTGGATCTCTGCCGGAGCGCCCACACGCGTCCGCACGAGGCCGAGGCTGTCGAGGAAAGCAGAGGCGATGGAGGGAAAGTGCTTGGTGAGCAAGGTCACGTCGGCCGTGAAGGCAGGGCCGAGCCTGGGAATGTTGAGGAATGGCTTGCTCAGCATGCGTCCGGCGTCGCCTCTGGTCTCTGTGCTGCGTGCTGTTGCGACAAAGAAAGCTGTGATGGTCTGGACGACGTTGACGTCCTTGGATCGCATGATGGCGGTGTTGAGCATGGATGGCTGCTCAACAAAGTCCACACACACCACACCTTCCATCATCTTCTTTGCCATGTCAAGATGCTTGGCAGTTGATGTCAGGTACGGCAATGCAGTGATATGTAGTCATCGAGTTTGTGCGCATCTGCGGGAGGTGTTGCTGGTGGAACAACAATGGGCACAATGGCGTAGGGGCGGCATCTGGGGTCTGTTGTTGGGCGGAAATGGCACAGGTCAAACTGCTCTGTGGGGATCATGGCGCGATTCAGGGTCGGTCCCAGCGCCCACAGGGCAACCCTGCCTCGCGAAACGCTGCTTGAAACAGTGAGCAGGTGCTGGTGGTCGCACATGACCATGTCATCTGCTCTGTCATTGCGATGCAGTATGGTACTGTGCTGTCCGGTGCTGTAGTCGCACTTGATCACGCTCTCAACAGAGTTGACGAACAGCACGCTGCTGTGACGGGCAAAGACGCTGTACTTGACCGGAACGTTTCTGCTCACCTTGAGCTTGCTGAGGACCTTGCGGTTGGCGACGTCACACACAAACACGTCACCTCGCGCAGTGCCAATCGCCAGCAGGCTGTCATCAGTTGGGTGCGTGGCCATGGTAGTGACGGTCATGTTGGCGTTTGGCTCTACCTCGTCCACAAACAAGCCATCCAACACCGCCACACGCGTCAGCGCACTGCTCACACCACTACTGCTGCCGTTTACGTGCTGCTGCTGTTGCTGCTGCCGCTGCTGTTGTTGCTGGTGATCCTGCTGGTGGTCGTCATGCTTCCGGTGTTCAATGACGTAGACGTGCAGTGTGTTTCTGCACGCGCAGACAAACTTTTGGCTGCGGTCCGCAAACGCTGCAATGCGCGGGACACGAACGCCCGTGACCTCTTTGGGTTCTGCCAACGTCGCACGACAAATACAAACGGGCGTGTCGTTGTTGTTGCTGCTATTGTCGTTGTTGGCGCCACTGCTGCTGTCCCTTCATGTTGTGTTGTTGCTGATCGTGTGGGTGTGAGGGTGCTGAGATCCCACACGCGCAAGTCGGTGGAGGTGGACGCAGTCACCAGGAAGCGGCCATCAGGGGTGACACGCAACGCATCCACGCCAGTACGCTTACGCTCCTTGCTCGCCGGTTCCGCCTCTACTTCCCCTCTCGCTGCTTCTCCGCCCACGTCTTGTATCGTCTCCTCGCCATTACCGACAACATCAGCCCTCCACTCTGCAAGCAAGGTCGATGGCTGACCAAGCTGCCACAAAGAGATGACACCGCCTTGTTGCCCGCGATGTACAGGGTGGGCGTGACTGCCATGCAGCGCGTGTGTTCGGAGGTGGACGGCACGGCACGACCGCCATGCACTTGAGGTCTGGCACGCGGTGCAGCTTGCACTCCTAGGGCACCTTCTGCCACCTCTCGATGACCCACGGAGTGCCATCGGGCGCGGCTGCGCATGCAAGCTCAGCGCCAAGGAAAGGATCCTCGAAGATGACTGTGCGTTCAGCCTCCCGGACACCGAGGCCGCAGATGTACACGCGGGAATAAGAGGGGCAGATGAGGTTAGGGCGCCTGCCGTCCTTGGTCCACACCATGTCGGTTGCTGTGACGGGCATGCGCTGCTTGCATGTCAGCCTGTGCATGTCCCACATAAACGACTCAGCCACCAGCAGGCGGCCATCGGGGCTGGCGTTGACGTAGGAGTAGCCGCCCTGCTCAGAAGAAGCAGAAGGACAGCTGCCAGGAGGCCTCAGAGAGACGAGAGGAGGAGTGCGTGTCTGCTTGGCTGCTTGATATGCATAAGATCCTGGGAAGACTGGCGCTGGGATGGATATGCGATGTATATTCGTGTTTCGTGTTGAGAGGAAAGTGTTGTTGGATGGATGAGTGGCTGTATTGAACGTGCTCGATGGTGTGAGCCAAAGAACTGAGCCAGCGCACTCAATGTGAACGGAACACGAAAGAAAGGTCAAAGCACCAACAGAAGAGAAAGGATCAACTGTTGCAGTGGGAAGAACAACAACTTAAAGATGTACGTGTAGCGCGCACGCACACACATCACGGCTCACCGCTTGATGTGGAGCTTGTTCTCCTCGCTCGGGTACTTGGTCGGGTGCACCTGAACATCGTCGCAGATGAGGCAGTGATGTTAGCATAAAACGACTGCACACAACCGCCACCACCACCTCACCCCAAAGCAACCCCCCCCCCACCACCATCTAACCCCCAAGCAAACAAGGCACCCCACAGCCAGCCCACCTTGAAGACGCATGCGTAGAGGTTGGTGACGGCAATCAGAAACTCCTTGTGCAACGGATTCTGCGGATCAAACTCGAGCGCCTCGGGGAAGATCTTGTGGCCTATATGGGCACAACACACGAAAGGTGAGGAACAATGGAACGAGGCAAACACGCGATCAGTTGCGGTGTGGGTGGTGCTGCCAGAGCGAACCAACCCCACACACACACACACACGCACACGCACACACACACACACACACACACTGACACACACACACACACACACGAGTCCTCACCTGACCAGAAGGGCTCTCCACTCTTGGTCCTTGCGTCTGCGGGGAAGGTGGCGAAGAGGTGCAAAATTTCCACAAAGAAAAAACCCGTAGAAGTCGGGTACGTCAGCCACCCACACTGACACCTCCGTCGCCTTCTCTTGCATTTGATGCAAATAAAACAAGCCTCAACTCGTATCGATGGTGTGGGGTGTGGTGGGGCGGGGATGTTAAGCGTCGTAAACCCGAAATAGCGGGTAAT